GGTTTGGGGGCTCACCTCTCCTGGTGCATGGTCTCCCAGGTGTTGGGGTCCACTCGCAGCGTGCACACATTCATGGAGGCGCTGGAGCTGCCAGACACGGAGGCCCCGCCCGAGAACCCGCTCTGCCCTGGGACGCTCAGCTCCACGCGGCCCTGCAGCTGCCCATCCACCGAGTCTTGGAATTGGTAGGGACCGATGCACTGGACGGCTGGAAGGAGACCGGAGCTGAGGCCCTGCCCGCCATGCCCACCTGCCCACCGGGAACCCGACCTTTGAAAAGGACCTGCCCTCTGGGGTCACAGAGCCTGAGGCCCAGGTGGCTGGGTGGGTGGGGGGCATCCGGGTCCTGGACCATAGGCTCCGCCCCCGGCCCGCCCTCGGTACCTGGCTCGGGGTCATCGGGCTCCAGGATGTCCTTGATGGACAGGTTGATGCCCTTGTAGCGGGGCCTCCAGAACCTGGAGCCGGGGGGCCTCCTGGCCAGCAGGCAGTAGGGCTGGAAGCTGGTGGAGCTCCGCAGGCTGTCCACCGGGACCAGCTCCCCTGGGCGGTCCAGCTCCTGGACCACGCTCTTCACCACCCGCTCGAAGGCGGACATGCTCCCCGGAGGCGGCGGCCTCGGGCTGGGACAGAGGGGGGACAGTGGGCGCCTGGATGCCTCCAAGGACCAGGCACTGTTTCCCTCCGAAGCCACCGCAGGGTCAGTCCTGGGCGCTCTGACTGCACGACCCAGCTCGGAGAGGGACCGTGTCCTCCCTGCCCCCCTCCCTCCCTCCAAGGAGCCTGGAGCCCCTCCAGGGGACCCTCTCCCACAACCCTCAGGGGCTGCCCAGGAAAGCCCTGGGCAGTCAGTGACGGAGGCAGTCAGCTTCGGGTCACACCGCCAGGCCTCCATCACTTTGTCGGCCCAACGCGGCTTAGGGCCACCCCGGAGGGAGGGCAGGGCAAGGCAGGGGCCTTGGGGTGACCCCAGACCGCTGCTCTGTCTGCTGTAGCCACTGCCTCCCTGGCTGAGGTGTTCAAAGGGTTGGGGGGGGGTAGTGAGGAGGGGGAGAGGGAGAAACAGAGTCACCGCCTCCCCAGAACGCCAGGCTCCTCTGTGTCCTGAGCCTGAGGAGCCACTTGTCTAAGGCTCAGGCTTCAGGGCTTAGAGACCCAGGCAGTCTGGCTGGTGAGGGGGACACTTCCCAGGGGCCCTGGGCTTCCCCGGGTGGGCCTGGATCAGGGCGCGGGAGGGGGGGCGGGGGAAATTATCAGAGGGGGCTGTGACCAGGTTGTTGCCACAAGGGCCGGCACCCCTGACCCAGTGTGAGCGAGCAGGGCCACCCGGGTGCCAGGGGGACGCGGGGCAGCTCACCGTGTCCTTGAACTTGGTGCCCAGGTTCCGGGGGCGCAGGAAGTGAGGTCACTGGGGCTGGGGCTGCCGGGCTGTGCTCTGGAGCCTCCAAAGCAGCGTTCAGCCAGCTGTGGGCTCAGGACCCAAAAGTGAAACCTGCAGACGCAGCTGGGACCGCCAGTCGCTGCCGGAAATGACCATGGGCCTCGCCCACCAGCTGAGCTTCCAGGCGGTTCCTTTCCAAATGTCTGTGGCACGCGGAAGCACCGAGGAGCAGACGTTTCTGCGAGTGCTGTCCAAACAGACAACAAGCACATCAGACCGCGGTGAGGGGGTGCGGGTAAGAGCTGGGGAGGGAGCAGGCACCGCCAGCTCCGGGGACAGGAGCCCGTGGCACGCCCCAGCCAGTCCTTCCGGGTGTGTAGTCAGGAGATGAGTCCCTCCACGTCGGAAGTCCTAGTGCCTGCACAGCAGGGGGGAACTCAGACCACCCCCCTCCGTGAGAGGAGCCAGCAGGAGAGGCCACACACACAGCACGTAGCGGGTGTGTGTGTGTGTGTGTGTGTGTGTGTGTGTGTGTGTGTGAGACAGCTGGGAGGGGCACGTTCCCTTGGGGTGATGAAAAAGTTCTAGCCGACTGTGGTGAGCGTTGCGCAACCCTGAGGATGCGAACACCCACGGAGTCGTGCGCTCTCAGGGCGGAATGATGAGGCCCTTGAGTTCTCCCTTAAGGAGGCGGTTACACAGCGCAGCAGGCGGCACTACCCAGCCGCACAGGCTCCTCGCCCTTCCTGCCCTGGGTCATGGGTCACCAGCGAATCCTGTCTGGGCCAAGGCAGCGGCCGCGCCCCTCGTCCTGCTCCACACCTCGCCTCTCGCCCTGAACCCAGGAGTTCACTGGGGAGGCCACATGGGGCTGCTGGCTGACACGCACCCCGAAAGTGAAAGCGCTGCACACACCCCATCAGCACCTGTCCCATCAGCACCTGTGCCAGGTGCCTGACCGTGAGGGCTGTCGCTGTGAGCCAGAAGGTGACTTCCTGTCCTGGCCTGTTGCAGCTGCAGTGACTGGAAAGGCCGATTCAAAGGAAATGTTGTCTCCTGGCTGGCGTGCCTCAGTGGTTAAACGTCGACCTATCAACCAGGAGGTCACGGGTTCAATTCCCTGACAGTACATGCCCGGGTTGCAGGCTCGGTCTCCAGTGTGGGGCTTGCAGGAGGCAGCCGATGGATCGATGTTTTTCTCTCCTCATTGATGTTTCTATCTCTCTCTGCCTCTCCCTTCCTCTCTGAAATCAATAAAAATGTTTTAAACACCCCCCCCCCACACACACACACAAAGGAAACAATATCTTGTGCAAGCAGAAGTCCCCAACTGCTGGGTACCCTGGGCAGGACACGGGCAGGCGAGGCCCTGGGGGTGGCAGGCAGGGGGCTGGCCTGCTCCGGTGCCTGCCTGTGGTTTCTCCTCCTGCTGGGGGTCTGGGGGCAGGCCTGGGGCTGAGCGCTGCCAGCTGAGGGCCTCTGGGGCCGTGGGTGCCCGTCCAGCCTGGCGAGGAGCTCCCGGCTCTGGTCCAGCCCCTGGTGGAGGGGACATCCTTGCTGGTGGTGCCAGGAGCTCCAAGAGCCTGAGTAGGGCTGGGTGTGTGTCCACATGTGTGTCCATGTGTGCACGCTGTATGCACACACATGCATGTGTATTCATACGTGTGTTGTTTGCATGTGCATGTTTGCATGTGCTGTGTTTGCGTGTGTTGGGGGCTGCATGCTGGTCCCACCGGTGGGTCCGACTCCTCCAGCCACACCTGCTTCTCCGTTTCCCAGACAAAGCTCCGTGTGGCCAGGTGCAGCGGGCAGCCTCCAGGCCACGGTCAGGTCAGGAGGGGCAGCCTCCTCAGGGGTGACCTGGCCTGGGCTTCCAGCAGGGGTGTGACCAGCATGGTCATTTGTCTGCACGGCCTCCTCGCTGCTGTGGGAGAACTGGGGGGAGGGGGCACAGAACCTTGGTCTGAGGCAGAGTGTCAGGCAGGTGCCATCCATGTGGCAACGGGGGACAGCATGGCACACTGTGCCCACCTGCCTTAGGCAGTGCCCTCGGCTGCCACAGCCCAGCTGGGTGGGCAGGACCGGGCCTGGCCCACGCCATTTATGGCCGTATCCGCTTCTTAGTAACAACCCAAACAAGAAGCAACGTGTTGGCCAGGGGTGGTGTTGCCTCTGCCCGGCTCACAAAGGACAGCTGGGGTCAGCCCCAGAGGCAGGAAGTGAGCCCCTGGGGAGGAAGGGAGGTAGTGCGGGGGGCTGGGGTGCACTCCATCCTCCTAGGCCCATGGCCCATGGCGCCTGGCAGGGAGGTACCCAGAAACCCTGGGGCACATGTCCCCCCCCCCGCCCCCCCCCCCCGCCGCCATGTTATGTGGAGGTGGTGGGTCGCCCAGGGCAAGGTCCGGCCACCTGGGTGGGGTGCGGAGCTGGGGAGGACACTGTGTCCCGGGACTGGGAAGCTGGGAGGGGGCTGCCGCGTGTGCATGTTGGCAGGGGAGGGGGGGGCGGGGGGGGGGGGACGCCGCTCCGAGCGGGCCTAAGGGAGAGGAAGCCCCTGCCGCTGGCCCGTCCCCACCCACCCGTGTCAGGGGCTGCTGACCGGCCGGACACGCAGGGAATGGGGCCTGGCGGGCGTTGACCTGGGAGGGAAGAGCAGGGCATTCAGACCGCGGAGATAACCCGAGAGTGCGCTGGAGCGAGCGCGGGGCGTGCTCGGGGGCGGGTCAGCGGGCTCCGGGAGAGGAGTGGGTCCGAGCCCAGACGGCTGAGACCTGGCGGGGGCAGCGGGCTCCAGGCACCCCCTGCGCTTCAAAGGAGCGCGCGGCGGGCCGCCCGAGACCTGGACTCCGAGGCTATGAGGCCGGGAGGTCCGGGCCGCAGCGACCCGGGGCGGGCGCAGCTGCGGGCTCCGCGGATTCCAGCGCGGCCTCCGGAGCCTGTGGAGCAGCCCCGCCCCGCCCCCGTGCCGGGAAGTCCGCGCCCGGGCAGCCGCTCCCTCCCTCCCTCCCTCCCTCCCTCCCTCCGGAATTTCCCGGTGCCCGCCGCCCGCCCCCCCCCCCCCCCCCGCTTGCGCCCTCGTCTCTGCTGGGCCGCTGGCCACGGAAACCCCCGCCCGCACGCAGAGGGCCCGGCGCGTAGCCGCGGGATTACGCGTCCTGCCCGGCTCCCCGGGGGTGGGGCACGCGGAACCCAGCCCAACCGCTGGGCCCGGGCGGGAGGGGCCCTCGTCCGGCTTCAGGTGCGGGAGCTCCGGGTCCGCCCGGCGGGAGGAAGCGCTGCGGCATCCAGGCAGCCTCTCCCGCGCCTCGCCCGGAGGAGCGCAGGGGAGGACGGTCCCGTGTAGCTCACGCCACCCTCGTCGTGGTCCTGGGAGCCTCATGGGAATGCCGGGCTGCAGGAACAGCTGACCAATGACATTTTCTTTCTTTTTTTTAAAAAAATATTTTATTGATTTTTTACAGAGAGGAAGGGAGAGGGATAGAGAGCTAGAAACATCGATCAGCTGCCCCCTGCACGCCCCCTACTGGGGATGTGCCCGCAGCCAAGGTACATGCTCTGGACCAGAATCCGACCTGGGACCCTTGAGTCCGCAGGCCGACCCTCCATCCACTGAGCCAAACCGGTCAGGGCCATTTTCTTATTAAAAACACACACATTTTTATGGATTTCAGAATGAATGGGCGAGGGAGAGAGAGAATCAGGGATCGGCTGCCTCCTGCGCGCCCCGGGGGACCCAGCCGCAGCCCCCGCTCGCATCCCGGCCTCCGGGTTCCCGGGCGACGCTCTCAGCCCCGGCCTGGCAACAGCATTTCCTTCCGGGAGCATCTGCCTCTGCCGAGTTGCACTGGGCAGTGCGGGTCGCCGCGGGGCGAGATGCTGGGGTGAAGGACCCACGATGGCCTCCGGGGCAGTTCTCTCCCAACCACTTACTGCTCCCCCTCCGCGCGGGGTACAGGCGAGGGGGGCACCCGCGAGGAGTGGTCCCCGCCGGCCAACCCGCGGCCCCCTGGGAGCTTGGCGGGAGGAATTCTCAAAGGGGTGCCGGCTGGGCTGGTCAAGGCGGCGGGACAGAGAGGGGGCAGGCGGAGGCTGCGAAGCTGCGCGGCGACTCGTCCCGTCCCGCGGGGATCGAGAGCGCCGTCACCGGTGACCCTCACGGCCGTCTTCCCCGCCCCGCGGTGACCGCGCCCTGTCCTCTGCTCTGCGCATGCGTAGCTGAGGCGTTGCCAGGGCGACCGCGGAGGCCGGGGCCCGGCTGCAGTGCGCAGTCTCGGAGCCTCTCGCGCTCCGCCCGCCCCGCCCACAGGGAGACGGTCGCGCGGCGATGACGTCGCGGGGGCCTGGCCGGGCGTCGCAGACTCGGGAGATGGAGGAAAAGGAGCTGTTACGGCAGCAGATCCGCCTCCTGCAGGGTGAGTCGGCCGGGTTGGGGTCGCGCGTCCCGCTCTTCCCCTCGCTGAGGGGACGCCCTCCGCCCGCCCGCGGTCTCCACAGCGGGGCCGGGCCGGGCGGGGCGGGGAGGTGGGCCGGGCGGGCGGTGGAGCCCGAGGGGCTCCACGGCCTGCGGGGTCGGCCCTGCCCGGGTTCGTCGGACCGATACCGCGGGCCTTTCCGGCGCCGTGCGGGGGCGGCGGGGCGGTCGCTTAGTAACCGGCGGAGGCTGCCCCCGCCCCCGCGCCCCGGCAGCGGGCGGAGGTGCGGGCGGCCCAGCTCGCTCGGGCGAGGGCGGTGTTGCTTCCCGGGCGCCCCGTTTCCACCGTCCTTCGCTCCGCACATCACATACGCCAGACCCAGACGCCAGGCCTCAGCTTCCAAACTTTTCAAATTCTAGACCCAATCGGGCTTTTTATACTTAAACTGGCCCCCCCCCCCGGTTATTTCCACAAAGAAGACTGAGGACCTGGGACGCGCGTATGGGAGAGTCTCGGTGGACTGGCCCGTGGGGCCACTGCCCCGAGGTGTCCCCAGGTGTGGACGCGGCTTTGGGGCTGGGAGGGTGTGGTGCCCGGGGCTGGGGGCTGGCTGCTCGCTGCTCGTTGGGCTGAAATGCCCGCAGCCCTGGCGGCCTCCTGCGAGGACAGTTGTCGGGGGGCTCCTTGGAAAGGCCGTGGTGGTCGTCAGCCCCTGCCCCGGGTTCTCCCCGCGGGCCGGGCCCGGCCTCGCCTCCCGAGGAGGACGCTGTGACATTCTTGTCAAGTGCTGCGTGCCCAGCGCTGTCGGTCATGGTGCACCCGTTGTCCTGTGTCGCCCCAACCCCTCCCCATCCGCGGGCAGCCAGAGGGCCGAGGTATGCAGTGTAGGCCTTGCTGGTCTTTTCATGCTGAGAGACACTGATCTTTTTTTTTTTTTTTAATATGTTTTTATTGAGTTCGGAGAGGAAGGGAGAGGGAGAGAGAGATAGAAACAGCCATGATGAGAGAATCATGGATTGGCTGCCTCCTGCACACTCCCTACTGGGGATGGAGCCTGCAACCCAGGCTTGTGCCCTTGTCCGGAATCGAACCCGGGACCCTTCATTCCACAGGCCGACGCTCTATCCAGTGAGCCACACCACCTATGGCTTCAAAGGATTGTGGACCCAGAATAATATTCCCAGAAAATAGGGAACATGATGCCACAGGGGTGCATGATCAGGATGGGCAACCAGAAACAGAACTGGAGTAGATCTGATGGGAAAAGGCTCAGGGGAAAGACAGGCCCAAGAGGATCAGGCTGAACTGTCAGTGGGTCTCCGCCACAGAGGGGCTCAGGAGAGAGATGGGGGTCTGTGGGGTGTCTTGTCAGCTGATACCCCCTCACCCCCGACTGTTGCTAATTTTGCTCTGAGCCTCCGGTCAGCCTGCGATTCTGTCTCCTAGGTCTGATTGACGACTACAAGAACCTCCATGGCAACACCCCTACCCCAGGTCCCTCAGCCTCCGGCCGCTGGCAGCCGCCCGTCTACAACAGCAGCAGGGCTTTCGGGGCTCGCTACCCTCGTCCCGGCCGCAGGGGCTTCTCCACGAGCCACGGGCCTGCGTGGCGCAAGAAATACTCCCTTGTGAATCGACCCCCAGGACCCTTGGACCCACCTGGCAACTCCTTGGACCCACCCAGTGACTCCTTGGACCCACCCGGGGACTGTGCTGTGCACCCCACCCTCGGGGCTGGAGGCAGCCAGGACCCCACCCCCCAGCAGTATGTCCTGGAGAGGCAGGTCCAGCTCAGTGCTGACCAGAGCATGGTCATCAAGATCAAACCCCCGTCCCAGCCCAGCGTGGCTGGTGCTGCAGGGGCTCCCCGGGACCCTCCTTGGAGCGACCGCAGGCCTCGGGGAGGGGAGGGCGAGCCCCCTGGTGGGCAGCGCCCGCCCTCAAAGCCAGGAAGGGCCAAGGGGGCCTACAGCACAGAGGACTGCCAGCTGGTCTGCCAGAAGGAGGCCGGCAAGCCCCGGGTGGTGAAGTCTGTAAGCAGCTTGAGCGACAGCCCCTCAGAGTCCCGGCGGACGGTCAGCGAGAGCGCCATCTCCGTCAAGGCCCGCCTCCTGCCTCCCCCCGGGCCCCAGCGCAGTGGCGTGGCCCTGACTGTGAAGGTGAGCTCGCACCCGGTGGCCGGCTGTGCTGCACAGCTCCTTGGGGACAGGAGAGCCGATGCCGGCCACCCCGATCAGCCCGCTCACGCTGGCTCCGTGGCAGGTCCAGCCCGACCAGCTTCTGGACCCAGGCAGGCCCCGGAGGCCTCCCTGCTTGTGTCCTGTCAAAACAACAAGTTCCGGAAAAACAACTACAAATGGGTGGCTGCTTCGACGAAGAGCCCCCGGGCGCCTCGCAGGGCCCTCAGCCCCAGAGCAGCTGCGGAGAACGTGTGGACAGCGGAGCGAGCCGAGAAGCTGCAGCCCAGGGCCCAGCCAGAGACCAAACCCAAGAAGCCGGCCGGGTGCCCCGCGGGCGCTCCCCGCAGCAAGTACCAGTGGAAGGCCTCCAGCCCCTCGGCCTCCTGCTCCTCCTTCCGCTGGCAGTCGGAGGCTGGCAGCAAGGACCATGCCTTCCAGCTCTCTCCAGTCCCTTCGAGGTCCCCCCCGGGGGACAAGCCAGCAGTGGGACCCAGTGGCTTGAAGCCCCTCTTCAGTGAGACCCCAGGGCTCTCGGCTTACAAAGTGAAGAGCCGCACCAAGATCATCAAGAGACGGGGGAGTGCCAAGTACGTGTCCCCGCCGCGCGGTCTTGAGTGGGCAGCGGGGCTGGGCCTGGCACCCCCTCCCGGTGACTCAGCTGGTGGGAGGGCCCGCCTGCTGTCATGGGGGGAGGGGAGGGGAGGTGAAGCATCGCTTGCCACCTCCTGGTTTCTGCTGGTTGAGCCTGAGTGAGGGGAGCTTTGTTAGTAGGGATGAGGCTGGGCTGCTGCTGATTGCGGGGGCTCGGCAGGGGCAGGGGCTTGCCTCAGTCCCCGGCCAGGCAGGGGGGGTGGAGGCTGGTGCCAGCAATCCCCCCTTCTGCTCGGAGAGGTTGCTGGGCAGCTTCCCTCTGGGCCCGGGATCTGTGGGCAGGAGGCTCTGCCTGGCCCGGTGCTGGCTAGACATACGCGGGGTTGTAGTGTGTCTGTGGGAGGAGCTGTCCCCCCTGGGAGGAGAGCTGCCACGGTGACCACGTGTCCCCTCCCAGCCTCCACCCTGTGGATTGAGGAGGCTCAAAGATGGCACATGGCCTGGCGTGAGGCCTGGGGTCAGGTGGCTACTTCTGGCCATGCAGAGGGCCTGCCTCTGCCATCGGACGTGGCGCATGCCCATCCTCATGTGCGTGCCCCTCTGCAGGTCCTTCCCACCATCTGACCCTGGTCTTTGCCCTGCTGTCCCTTCTGGATGACCCCATCTTTTTCTGGATGGTGGCAGCCTCTGTGTCAGGGACAGGAGGAGCTGTGGGAACAGTCCCTCCTGCGGAGAAGGCTGGGGATGCGGTGGCAGCTCCTGTGCACACCCCGTCTCCTCTGCCCCCTCCCCAGCTCCACTGGAGGCTCTTGGCCTGCGGAGGGGAGGAGACAGACTGGGTGGGGCCAGGGCTGGGTCACTGCTCTGCTCCCCGCCTGCCTGGGCTCGGACCCTGGGATCCTCCACTGTGGCTGGGAGCCTGCAGGCTGGTGCTGCCGAGGCGGGAACTCCTGGGGCCGATTCCATGGGGCTTCCATGGGGCTCTATCCGAGTGGGCTGGGGGGTCCCCCTCCGTGGGGAGGGCCTGTTGAGAGCTGCCGCTTTGTCTCCGCAGCCTTCCTGGGGACAAGAAGAGCAGCCCCCCACCAACTGCCACCGCCAAGAGCCAGTTCAGCCTGCGCAGGAGGCAGGCCCTGCGGGGGAGGAGCGGCCCTGCCCAGAAGAAGGCCCCCCCCAAGGGCCTGATGCAGGTCCCCCGGCACCGGCTGTGCTGCCTGCCTCCTGGCCGCACCCACCTCCCCATCAAGGAAGGTATGAGGACAGGAGGGGCCCTGGGAGGGGAGCTCTGGGAAGCCTGAGCTGGCCCCACGCTGGCCCAGCTGCATTCCTGTTGGTGGAAGGAGTGGGAAGTGGATGAGAGGGTGGCTGCCCAGCCGTCCCGAAGGAGGAGGCCTGGGAGGGCCGGCTTTGCCCGCTGAGTCACTGGTTAGTGGCCAGCGTGAGGGGCGTGTGGTGGGCGTGGCCCGCTGTGAGGTGCTGGCAGCACATGGGGGGCTGCTGGCACGGGCGGGGCTGGTGGTGGAGGTCTGGGGCCGTGGAGAGTGGGCAAGGGGGAGGCGGGGGTCACTGGATGCCGCCCTGGAGAGCCAGGCGCCCCCGCCCCCGCGCACTGGTCCTGTGGGTCCCCTTTCCCAGCGGGGAGCGTGGGGTAGGACTGCCGGGCCCACGCCTGTGAAATACGGAGGCAGCAGGGTTTGGGGCCGAGCAGGCGTGGCCCCAGGCAGTTTGACTTGGGACTTGCGCCCACTGAGCGGGTGGAGGCTACGCTCTCCTCTCAGGACTGTTGTGCCAGGGCCCAGCGCCTCAGGGAGGGCCTGTGGGGAGCTGCCGCTAGAGGGCGGGCGTGGGCCCCGAGGCGTGAGGCCAGGCTGCAGGGCTGTTGTCCCCCTGCCCTTTGGCCGCCCGTGTGCCTGCGAGTGTGGACTTCGTGGCAAGGTGAGGAGAGAGAGGGCGCCCCCTGTGGTGCAGGTGGGGAAGCCCAGCCCCACGCCCTGCCGTGCGGCCGGGTGCCCAGCAGAGGGCGCTCTTGCCCCTCCTATCCCTCGGTCCCTCTTTTTTCTGGTGATTGATTGCCTAATTTCCTGTTTATGTGAAAGAAAGCAGATATCAAGTAATTTGCAGCAATAACCTGCTAATGCGGGGCCAGTATCGAAACTCCCCTGTTCATTTCAAGTGGCAGATAAAACACTAATACATAATTATCCTTGCAAATTGGATTGTTTTAAATAACCAAAAGGCTGCGGCCAGGAGCAGGCCAGCCCATCTCCCTGGAGTGGCTGTTGCGGTGTAATTGCCGCGTTCAATCAATTTCCCTGGCATTAGAGATTCCATCACAATCAGCATTAAGCTTTATTCATTGTGATGGCTAAGAGCCGGACCATTTCTCCTCTTTTTCTTAACTGGCAAAATTAATCAGGGAAAAGATTTTAAACATTTACCCGTGCGAAAGAGGTCAGCTCTGCCACTATATTGCTCAGCAGATAAGGGGCTAATAAAAAGAAAATTGAATTACTAATGATCACCAGGAACAGAGTGTATAAAACCTGGCAATCGCCGGTTCAGGGAAAGGGAGAATCAATTTTCCTGGGACAAGGTGTGCTCATTTTTTATTTTGGCGCATATTATCAGCAGTTTAATTTGAGAGCGCATAAACAGGAGGAAACAGTTAGGGAGTAATGAGCCCGGAGGTGTAGCGTGCTGCAGGATGTATGCTGTACACAATTTATTTGGCACAACAGATAATCGCTTTAATTGAATTCAAAACTGCATTGTTCAGCAGGCTGGGGCCGCAGGCGCCTGGGGACGGAGCGGTGAGGGTTCCCTCCGCCTCCTCGCTCCCCTCCTCGCTCCCTGCCCTCCCGCGGCCTGGCTCTGTGGGCTCAGAGGCTCGGTCAGACTTTGACTGGGTGGGGGCCCTGGGCCACCATGTGCTAAGGGAGCTGAGGGCCTCGGTTTCACTCTGCCGTCAGCTGTCCGTGGGCAGCTGGGGGACGGGAGAGGGTGCCTGAGGAACGGCCGGGAGCACTTGCTGATGGCTGCACAGGGACCCCGTGGGGCCTGTCTCGGGTGGGCAGGCGCTGGAGGAGGCAGGAGAGGAGAGAGCCTTTCCTAGACCTCAGCAGTGGTTTCCAATTTACCGCCCGTGTAATTGCGGCAATTAGCAACCCAGCCAGGGGTGCTCACGGCCTCGGCCCCCACGTGGGAGCCGACTCTCTCAGTGCAGCGCCCAGGGGGTTCAGGGCCAGCTCCCAGATGCCTCCTTCTCTGGCCTCGCTGGGCCCAGCGCTGTCCCTGGGGCACCCTGATGGCAGAGGCTGCACCTGTGCCCCTGAGCCTGGCTCCCGAAGGCAGAGAGGGTGCTGCCCAGCTCCTGCACCCAGGCCAGTCGGAGGGCTGTGTCCCCGCCTGCTCCGTGGGGCTGGCAGCCCACCGACCTCTGGGCCCCAGGCTGGGGCTTTGTGGTGACAGCAGGTCACGCGATTCCTCCACAGTGGGCAGCGTGTGCTGTGGCGGCCAAGGAGAAGCCATGGTGGGCGGTGGGTCATCAGCTCCCAGAAGTCGCTGGGGCGGGAGGTCCCATGCCCACCTGCCCCAGACAGTGGACGCCTGGCCATAGCCCCACCTCTCCTTCCCCGCCTGTCCCGAGCCGGGCCTGCCTGCGAAACCCCAGACTGCACAGTGATGGGGGCGGGTGAGGGCCTGGCCAGCTGCTCACCACTGTGGGGCAGGGCTGTGCTGGACAGGAGGCCTCGTGCTCATCTCTGACCGGCCCGTCCCTCTCACAGCCCCTCCCTCTCACAGGCCGCACAGCGATCCTGGCCAAGGCAGCAGCTGCACTCACTGGGGAGGCAGCCCAGGACCTGCGCTGGGCACTGGGCAGTCTTGTGTGTGGCCTGCACTGGCCTCAGGGCTTTAGGAGGGTCAGTGCGTGGAGGGAGCCTTGCCCTGGGTTCCCACAGGAAGGAGGCATTGCCTCACCGACGTGCTTTCCCAGGGTGCTGTGGGCGGTCAGGAGCCGGGGCTGACTGGCTCTGCACGGTGGGAGCAGAGGCACCTCGAGCTCAGCAGAGCCAGGGCCAGGCTCCCGGGTGTCCTGTCAGCTCCCACGGGTGCTGGGAAGCAGCCCGTCCTGCGCTCCTCCTGGGGCTTCCCAGGTGCTGGCCAGCTGGGCAGGAGCCTGCAGGCTGGTGCTGGCACCGCCCTGCCCCTTCCCTGGCTGTGACTGCCCGGAGCTGCTGTGTGGCCTGGGGGGGGGTCTGCGACCCCCATGCTCGCCTGCCCCCCCTCGTGCTAGCCTGCCCCCCCTCATGCTCCCCTGCCCCCCTCATGCTCGCCTGCCCCCCTCATGCTCCCCTGCCCCCCTCATGCTCCCCTGCCCCCCTCATGCTCGCCTGCCCCCCTCATGCTCCCCTGCCCCCCTCATGCTCGCCTGCCCCCCTCATGCTCCCCTGCCCCCCTCATGCTCCCCTGCCCCCCCATGCTCGCTTGCCCCCCCTCATGCTCGCCTGCCCCCCCCTGCTCCCCTGTCCCCCCTCATGCTCGCCTGCCCCCCCATGCTCGCCTGCCCCTGTGTGTGCAGTGGGTGCAGTTTCCTACGGCCTCACCGTGAGGGCGTGAGAGCAGTTAAGCCTGGAGTCCTGCTTTCGTCGGGGAAAAGAAAATGCTGAGTTAGGGGCTCGGGAGGCAGCACCACAGTCTGAGCTTTGTGTGAATCACCGGGCCTGTCGGAGGCTCCGGGTCTACGTTTCCGGGGCTGTGCTAATTATTTTCCTGGAGCCGGGCAGGAGTCGCGTGTGCATCCGAGTCCCGAGTGCGTGTGTGCCCAGAGCGAGCGATGCCCGGCAGGCTCGGAGCCTCAGGGTGGCCGCGACCTCTCGGAGCTGAGCCGGGAAGCAGGGCTGTGTTCTCAGGGTGCCTGGAGCTTGCACCCAGGGGTCTGGGGAGCACCCTCCTAGGGGGCTGGGTCCCAGGTAGGGATGGTGTGGGCTGTTCCTTGTGTCTGACGACGGAGGTGGTTGCCCAGGTGTCACACCTGGTGTTCTGGCCCGAGTCAGGGCCTCCTGGCCGCCCAGCTCTGCCCTCTCCCTCAGGGCTCTCCCTGCAGCCCCCCACCCTGTGGTCTGTCCCACCGGCTCTCCTGGGCCCAGCCCTCCCACCCCCAGGGCAGGGCGTGGCCAGACCTCCACGTGGATGTGGGTCTTGGGGGGGCGGGGGGGCCAGATCCTGGTGAGCAGGAAGCACCGTGCCCCTTGGCGTCTCCTGCCCAGCGCAGGGCTGGCCAGCAGGGCTGTGGGAGGAGGCAGCTCGCGCCCGCAGGACACCTTCTCTCTCTGCTACGCGCTCCTCTGTGCCATCCCTGCCCTGGTAAGCTGGCGGTCACGGAATGTCACCTGCTCCGGGCACTGTGCTGGGCATGTGGCCAATGGGCCCGCCTGGTGAGGCCCCGTCAGCCTGGGGACAGAAAGGGTGACGGCAGCACAGACGTGACTCTGGGTGGCAGAGAGAAGACAGAGGGACTGGCCAGCTGGCCGGGAGGCAGGGAGGAGGTGCCAGGCCGGGCAGGGCTTCCTGAGGCCAGAGAGCGGAGGAACCTGGGTGCGGGGAGGGGGCTCCTGAGCAGGTGCACAGCGAGGACGAGGTGGGGCGGTTGGAGCAGGCGCGGCTGTCCTCCACCTGCTGGTGCCTGAACGTAGGGAGGGACACTGAGCGTGCCTGAGCCAGGCCGGAGGCCCCCGATCATCTGACGCTAACTTCCTGCCCCACCTCCCACAGGCGGCCAGGCCTCCCAGGACCCCACCCCTGCCTGCTGCGCTCTCTGTGGTGCCGCCCTGGGAGGTGCCCGCGTGGACCCCAGCACTGTCGGCGCCGTGAGTGCTGCTGCTGGGCTCTGGGCTCTCGGGTGGCGGACGGGGGGCGGGGCATGGGCAGGGAGGCACGCTGCTGGTTGAGTGACTGCTGTGCCCAGCCACCCTCTTCCTGAGGCGGAGATGAAGCTGTGGGCCCTGGGCCCCCCTGTGTGGGCAGCAGTCGGCACCTCAGCGTGGGCCTGTGCACCTGTGTGGCCCGCTGGGCGCTCCTCTGGGCTGTGCCAGGCCCCTCCCTGCCAGTGCGGCTGAGCACGGGCACAGCACTAAAGGGACGGGTGGGCGCTGCTTTGTGCCCGCAAAGCCCTGGAGAGGCAGCAGCCAGGAGGGGCGCGGCCGGCCGCCCTCAGCTGGGACCTGGTGCCGCGGTGGCCGGCCTGGCTGCTG